GTTTAGTAGGCTATGTACTAAATAAGTACCTAGCTAACGTATTCTCGATTAGTTAAAGCCTTAACTTAAGGTTTTAAGAATTGGCGTATATGGATATAGCCCGTGACCCATCAACGGAACAAGGTGACCAATTTACTCCAGGTCCAAAACATAGAAGATGGTCAAAATAGTTGAGTTATAAAGCCTAACGAATGTTACTTGATCAAATTCTCCTCCTTCTCGCTTACCTCCAATTCATCTCCTCAGCTCACCCTCTGAAGCTGCAGCTAACTTTCACTAGGCTTTATTATAGATAATTCTTTCTTAACTACTATATAAGTTTTCGATCGAAAGGAAATATATATTACAAAATAATCCTAATAACACTTAATAGTCTGGTACCTACCAAATAAGATAATATTACATAATTACTTATATTACATTATCTGTGGTACTCTGAAAATATTAATCTTGGCAATTTTAGTTTGTGAATACCTATAAATAATTACTTTAGACAGATATTTACTCATTCAAGTCAAGACTAAGTAATATGCCAAGAAACGAGAGTAATAAAAATAGTTATTAACATGTTCTTAGTAGTAGTGTGGTAGTCGGTATGTACCTATTAGTACAGAGATACGAGTAAATAGATGGTTACTAAAAAATATAATCATAGAAGCATTGCTTGCCTTATCTACTATATAAAATTCTTAAAATAAAAATTCTCGTGCCACAGTTTTTGTAACAAAACTTCTCCAAAACGGTTTCACCAAATCTTATGAAAGTTTATTGTTTAGACAAAATATTTCATTAAATTTTTCATCATTCAAAATGACACGTAACCCCTAAATTATTTTAGGGGTTACGTTTAACCAATGGTTAAAACAACGTTTGCCGAGTCAATAATTTTAAGTATAATAAATTAAGAATTATCGAATCAAATCTATTTTTGTATTTATATGATTAAAAGAATATTACATAGTTTATTATAAGCTTAGGTTACTTCTATAACATTACCAAATTAGTAATATTTAAATTCTCCTTTCTATTTGAATTCAATGTAAATATTCAAATTCGGAAGCTGATAACTGCAATCAAAGTTCTTTGGGGCTACATTTCAATTAATTTTTATTCCTCAATTCTGTGGTTGTCATAAAACTTTAAAGTTTGACGAGTAAAGCCCATTGAGAAACTCCGAATTGATATTAATTCAAATAACTCAGGTTAAAAAGTCAGGGTTTTATGTGAGTTGTAAAAGTTTATTGTAGGGCTTTGTGGCGAGCCGGACGCGCCGATAGGCCTTCATTGGCGATGACGGAAGATGAGCGCGAGCCGCTGCCGCCGCCGCTATTGCTTTATGTCGTTTGCGCCCGCGCCACCGCCGCGCCGTATTGCGCCCATCTGGCCATAATAGCTTGCATATTTATTATACATATTTACGGGTCCAATAACGTATAATACTCGTACAGAGACACAGCGACTTATATTTGTACTTATAGTAAGAATAATACTAATAGTAATAGTTTATACATTTTAATTGAAAGAACATAATATATCTTAAATTATAATACTGTAACTATAAAAAGTATACGTAGTAGTAGTAATAAGTTGTATCATGTCTTTATTTCTCCAAAATAATATATACCTACTATATTTTATTATATACGCTAGACAATTGTTTTAAAGCGATTTACAAACTTTAGACTACAAGGGGGCAAACATCCCATAGGATCAATTATATTTTCACTGTTGGTGCAATCGTGCGAGAGTATTATTATAAACATATTATATTATAATGAAACATACGGTAATAGTACCTACTATATTATATATGTATATGATTGAGTAGTAATATTATGTAAATATCTGCACTACGCATTCATCAGAAAATGAGTATACATTTTGAAACAATCCCGCCGCAGGTTTACTCAAACTCTGACTACTGTAGCCAGCATTTATGTACATAGGAATGCACAAGAATCGGGGAGATTTAATATTAACTACAAGCTACTCCGTACGCCTTCCCATGCTCATAGGGCATAGATACTAATATAATGATGAAAATCAAATCAATCATGTTTCCTTTACTCTTCAAAATTTTCTATTGTGATTCTTATTTGTGTTATTCTTATTGTAAGAGACTTAATAAAATATTAACCAAATTAATAATGCCGTACGGAATTTATGTGATTATTATTTATAATCTAATTCCGGCTCGTTATAATCAAATTCGTTATTTGGAATGTAAAGGACTATGAAAACATTTTTTAACATATAATATGTATATAGATAAATTTAACATAGAGTCCAATTTAGTTAATTTTTAGAAGAAAAGTACTAACCTAATGTTATTAATTACAAATGGACGAAGAAAATATATAATAAATTAAATTTATACAAAAATACAATCAAAATATAGCAAAAGATACAAATAAATACTAGTTAAACAGTAAATAATAAATACTATATTATTGTTAATATATAATTATATTAGCTGTGCGCACTTGCGAATTCGTACACGTGGAATTTATGTTTATTAAATAAAATAGCCTGTTTTTTCTTATTATATTAGCAAGAATAACCGTTTCATAAATTAGCAAGAACAAACAGACAGACAGATTTTTTTTAATATACTTTTATGATGTAAGCGCCATATATATTTTCATATGCGTTTAGTGAAAAACTGTTAGTTTGAAATTACACTTTAATTTTATTTATTTATGTAGATTAACTATGAGTCTTTATAATTTTATGCATTGAATAATTTACAAAATATATTACTGATATTCTGTAAAACATAAAAAAAAATTCCAACTTTTAGATGGAATATACGTACATGTAAAATAAAAGCTTTTCCATACAGGTACACCCTATTATAGATTTTTTTGTACTTTACATCTCCATCTGTTAATAGTACCTACCTATAATCATGAGTATCCAAGTGTCTAGGTATAAATATTCATAGTCTTGGCTTCTTTTTAAAAAAATACGAAACACTAGCTGTGCCGTCTGCATCACACTTAGGTACTTGATATTTATAATTATATTATTATTATATTAAATGTAACTAATTATATCTGATGTATGTATACTGATGTTGCTGTACTCATTACTGTAAAATCCGTTCAGTAGTTTTTGCATGAAAGAGTAACAACATCCATCCGTCCATCTTAACTGACAAACTGTCGCGTATGTTTTATTAGTAAGATGTGTGTGAGATTCTCTAATTATTTTTTGACAATAATTAAATACAAAATCAAACATAATACAATTTATATTACATTTTACATTTCAATCAAGGATTGTACCTAGTTGTTTCACTAAACTCTACCCAAATTTTCAACACCAAATGCCACCTGAATTTTATTTTATACCTAAATTTACTAGTAAATCGTAAGTAAAGTAGTAAGTAAAATCTGTTCACCGCTATTCCTCTGGTATAATTCATCAAACCTTTTAGAGGTCTGAAACATCAAGACTAAGAATGTCACTTGTGTACTGAATTTTTGAAAACCCTGTGTTTCTAGAGAAAACCTTGGCATGCAATTCATTACCCAATCTGAGAGAATAGGATGTGTTGGATGTCGGATAATATGCCTCTAAAAGTGCTCTGTATTGGACCATTTAGGTTAGAGTATCAAGATAAATTATGTGGCAATGACGACCGGAACGATCATAAAAATATTTTCTTTTGTCGTGAGAATTTAGTCAAATACTTCCTTAGTGTATGTCTATTATAAATAATTGATTTGTTTTGTTGATTTCAAATTTTATGACAGACGAGTTCCTCGGTTTCTCAGCAGAATCTAAATTAAAATTTGTCCTTATTACATTTTATATATTTTAACATTAAAGTGATAACATAGGTATACAGTATTAAAGATTCAAGTTAATGAAATGCCTTACGCTATCTACATATATATATAAATACTGGTGTGCCATAGAAGTCATATTGTTAAGTAGACGATATAACCGTAAGTATATATTTAAAATATATTGCAATCTAGCAGATACTGGAGAGGTGAAATAGTGGCTAATATGAATCAATGAACAGGGTCTCACGATGGAGTTTAAAGCTAAAGAGGGCAAATTTTCAAAATAATAACTTTCTGTTTCTTTTTTCTTACTCCTCCCAGAATACTATTTTACTGCTACAGAATGTCCTCGAAGTGTAGTATAGATATGGAAATACATGTAGGTATAACCTAGCCACCTATATCTTGAAATCTGAACTCCAAGAGTTACCTACATCGATTAAGAGTAAACTCATGTATATTTCACACATGGTAGATAGGTACCTACTACACTCGTCTTAGATATGGCTCTACCTACTACTGGCTACTCTACCTTCTTGTCATTCTCCACAGATGGTAGCGTCATAGAATACTATATAGGTATATAAGATAAAAACACGACTTGTTGGCTTTCTGTTAGATTGTATTGTTACGCAAAAGGATCCTTTCCCCATCCTCTTAAAATTAATTATTTAATGACAACATAGGAACAAACCTTTCATCTCTATCAATCAACGGGTGTTCGTATCAAATCAAAATAGGTACCTACTTAGATTTGCAAGGTATAGAAGTATTAGATACTTAGATACTGGGTAGTAACTAAGTTAGATCGTAAAAATAAAATTTTCAATTTTTCCAACATAGGTACATATTTAGCACGTCGTGCAAGTAGACGTAAACTACTACCTATGGTTATTGATTTCAACTTAGAGTTTAAGTACTGATAAAGCCTATTAGTCAAACATCAGCAAGAATTTCTTGTCAATTAAGCGATCGAGGTACGCATACGCATATAAATGCATAAAACATGGTTATTTAACTTTTATATTATTTTAACTTATAACTTAACCATTATAACTAAACTAAACTATTTAATTTTAATATCAGTTACGTAAATTGTATAGAGAACGAGAACTAATTTAACTTCGATAAGTTATTTTAAATTTCTTGCTGATATTTATTTCAATGTTTCTTTTGTATATTAATGATATTGTGTAAATAGCTTACCTGTCGTCTGCACGTGTTTTATCCTCAATTTCGACCACAATATATACACATTCAAATATATATAAAAACAATTTTACAATTATCAGTTCACAGCACAATGTCTATTTTAATAGCACCGATTCCAAGTATATTAAAATTTTGAACACACAACTAAAGACTACTATCTACATGTTTTAAGTATGTTATCAATTACAATTACGAAATTGAAAATAGTTCTATTTGTCACATAGCACAATTTAAATCTGTAGTGGCGAGCCAACTGCAAGAGCAACTACCGCAAACTCGACCACACTATGCTTCATTAACATGTATACAAAATAACATACCCACTACCTGCTCGAGGTACCAATCAAATATCATACATATGCGCAGTACTATAAAAGATATATTCATACAGCACACTATGAGTAACATTGATAGACGATCACAGGAATTTCTTCTTTGTGGTTACTGTCAGAGAGTTAGTATTAAATTACGGCGTGTAATCATGTAAGGTGAACGAGACTCCGCCTTTGTATATTGACAAACAAAATGATTGGTGGCTCACTTGGGTTACTGTAGAGACGATCCTGCGCAACTTTAAGGCGGTTAATGTAAAAGTCTCTCCTACATTTACATCGATTTTAATTTTAAATTATTACCTTCACGAATTCAAATGCTTTGATAAAACTATATAAAATTCTCGTGTCCCAATGTTAATTACCATACTCCTCCGAATTTTTATAAAATTTTATATGCATATTCAGTAGGTCTGAGAATCGGCTACTATCTATTTTTCATACCCCTAAGTGGTAAGGGATATTCACCCCCAAATATATTTTTTTTATTTTTTCGACATAATATTTTATTTTCATTTTATTATTATTTATGAATGAAAAATACATACAACCCTAAATTTTCACCCTTCTAGCATGAACCCCAATTTTTAATAGCGATTTTAATTTATATGGTAAAGCAACGTTTGCGGGGTCAGCTAGTAATTTAATATATAATAGATATCAGGCATAAATATTTTTTTAACGTGAAATGGAATCACTAAAATTAAAATATAGTATATTACTATATATATATCATAGACAGAATAACATATATTTTATTATCTTTAGATGTGTCTACTAGTATAGTACTTAAGTAAATCTGTATAATAATGTCAAAATTAGGATACCACATATTTGTGCGATAAAGATCTCATTGACACTAAAGAGCTCTATTTTTTATTTTCGCGAGTTCGAATGTACCTATATATGAATTCATATCATTTGTTTAATAACCATAATCTAAGTTATGCTTAGATTGGGACTAGATACAGCTGTGTGTATTGAATGAAATAAATAACAATTATTAATTGCTGTACTTAATTATACATATTTCATTAAAGTATTAAGTATATAAAATGTAACTAAACCTATTTTTATAATATGTGTTCAAATTAAGTATCGATAAACGATACAGCTTGTCTTTCGACATAGGCCTCCTCTAAAGAATACCAATGTAACCTGTCCTTTGCTTTGCGAGTACATACTGGAACGGTTATTTTTCTAATATCGTCTTCCCATCTTCTACTCAGTCTACCTCTATTTCTTTTGCAGTCTCGTAGGGATTTCCATTATTCTTGTCCATTTCTCTTCCTTTTCTCTTATCATCTAACCTATTCATTTCCATTTTAGCTGTTTATGTGCAATGTGAATAATGAAATACAAAAATGTTTGTAACTGATTATATATAAGTAGATAAAATGCAGGATTATATAACCACATTTGTTTGCATTTATTTCTTATAAATAGGGTTTAAAGGCATACCATACCTATTTCTATGGCTTAAAGGCAATTTTCATTCAGTTGCCACTCCATTCGATCCCCTGTTCCATTTTATTTGGGGTCCAAATTACGACGCCCCGAGGCGAGTTTCGAAACACTAGTCAGTCAGTCAGTCAGTATCTAGTAGGTTGGCAAGAGTTGGCTACCAGCCGGTTTATAACTGCTTCTGTAGATATGGAATTCGGTCTGTACTCCTTTGGTGTCTAGAATATCGGTTAATTTAGAACTAGATACTTAGTGCTGTTTGAATTGTCCAAACATCACATACGGGTAATATTAAGCATACAATATGATTAGAGATTTAATTACAAAATAAAATATTTTAGTAAATATATAGTTATATGTCTAAATAGACGGCCTAGCTGATCTAGCGGTTTAGCACACCGCTTTACCTCCGATGGTCGCGGGTTCGAATCGCACGGTACAAATATTTGTATTCATGAGTTGTTTAATAATTATCAATTGTTTTTATCAGTCTAGGTGTGTTCTATGTATATTATGTGTTCAAAAAATTAATAACAAGCTTGCTTACTTGGGGAGTAGATGACATTGTGTAAATTCTACAGGTGTGTGGTGTGTATCATTTTTATTATTATTATAAATAAGCCAAAATTGTACATTGAAATAATAATTTTATTTGATATTTTGTAATAAAATGTTTTATATGTTATTTTATGAAATTTATGTGTACGGAGACAAACAACACATTAGGAATAGCAATACTTGAGAATTAAGAATCATGGGTCTTTTGCGGGAAGATATTGTATTCATATGAGTATAGGTATGGATATATCGTGATTCAGCTTATTTTCTATGGAAATTAGGTATATAAAAAAATAATAACATTTCATACGCATTACGATCTGATAAACCTATATTGTTATCTAATTAAATATATATTCAGAAAATATGTTAATATTAGTTTTCCAAATATTTTTTTAATATTAAAAGTATAAACCATAATAAGTATAAACGTTAACTCTGCTTTGGAGTTGTGGCCATGCGAGCTAGGCAGCATTCCAACGCATCGGGCCGCCTCACCCAGTTACGGTCTGCCGGCCGGAGTGCTAATTGGTAAAGGAAACCTCAAACAACGACCGAGCTCAATGCTCTCTACAGAAATGTTTCAGTTTTAAACATCTTTGAGACCGTTACCTATAACCGATCGTTACAAATGCAAGTATGTACCTACCTACATTTATAATTTACTTTTAAGAATACTATTTTATTGGTAACGAATGCCTTTTACATTGTCAATGTTATCTCGTAATTGATAATTTGACTCTACTAATGTTTTAAAATTTGCCAGCCATGAAATTTATAGCCTATGTGTTATTTTCATGTATAAGCTATGTTACTATAAAGTTACATCAAAATCCGTTCAGTAGTTTTTGCGTGAAAGATAAACAAACATCCATCCTTATTCACAACCTTTGCGCTTATACCTAATATTAATAATAATAAGATTTAATATGTACCTACTTTTTAGCGTTAGTATATGTGATTATTTAACTTAATATATGGGTGGTTCTACTTGCAAGGGAATTTTCCGCGGCTCACCTTATTTTGTACAGTTTTTGTAGGCAAATTATATTGAATTACGATCGAATATGTACAATTAAATGATTTCTATTATGACACTAAAAATTTGCTCACTCCTACATATATATATCTTATAAAATAGTAATATCGTGAGGAAACGAGAACTTAAAGAACGATAATATTTCATATACCATAAATGACTGGAGGAATTAAACGACAACTTACAATACCTACTGTAATAAAACGAAGCTTATGAGTATTTTCAAATCATTCTATTCAATTTTTATATGCAGTGGGATATGGAAGCGAGAGGTATACCAGCGATATATTTCTAAAATCTTTTAGAAGGTCTTCGCCTGTTTAGAATTGCAGTAGGTCCTATACTAACGTGTATCTAAAGCTGTTCTAGCGGGCTTCTACCAGATTTGGTTGGGAAGGGATAGAAACACGGGCAGTGTAGGTGAGCTTTAACGTATGTCTGCAAGGAGTCAAACGTTAAACCTATACCCGTGTCACTGCTCGGAGTTTCCCTCTTTGCCAAGATGGATGCATATTGCAGGATAAGCAAAAAAGTTCGTCTAAACTTTGTAGTCCCGTATGTTTTGCCTTATCTAGAATAATAAGCAGGTAAGTACCTAATGCCTACTTTGTTTCTTCCATCAATACTAAAAAGTTTACATAATATGACAAATTATATACATAAAATGAAGTGGGAACAATTTTTTAACTTTGTAGTAGAAAAGTTGATTAAAGAAGAGTGGGCCATCAAATGCGGAAAATCTGAAAATCTAAACTACACGCTGCCTGCTTAGGTACTTACTGTAGGTACTGGTGCTCATTTATCTCTCTTCCACGGAAGTACATTTCTATAGGTACTACTGTAAAAATATCTGAACTATGTACCTACTTATCTACTTCGATTGTAACTCAGTGTATGTATGCGTAGGTATATACCTACCTATGTACCTATAGCTATACCTACCATTAGATAATTTAATAACATTTAGTTACAAAAATATCAGGAAGAACTTGCTTTACTTAAACATAGATATTATTTGAATTATGCGCTCGACTTGACCCTTCCTAGAAACTACTGAACCAAAATTCCTTATAGACGTTTGTTTAGTAACACAAAATGCTGTTCGTATTTGAAAATCAACCGACCAGCGACATTAACAAACCAAATATTATCCTAGGAAATTTAATACGTAGGTAATAATAGAAATATTACCTACTATATCTATATTAGTACACCTACTAATATCTTTCATAGTGGGTGTACTAATATAGTAATATCAGCTATACTTATTATAGGGGGACAATGTACTCCTTCATTTTCGAAAGTTCTAATAATTCATTCATTCATTAAATTCAACAGATATGGCTTCTCCAAATCAACGAATTAGAACGAAGACAGATTATCCTTCATATTACAGGCCTCAAGCATTGAAGTTCTAATATTAATAGACTACATTACATAAAATACATATCTTCAACTGCGGTTCAGCAAGTTTATTATGAGTAACAAAATAAGATTAGGTAGGTATATGTAAATTGTTAACAATACAAAACATTTTACACATCTTTGCGATTCATAGTACGCGATAGGCGTCTTGATATCTGATGAATTAAACATTTAATCTTTATATACAATTGTAATTAGTATAGGACCAATAAATAAACATACTGATTCACTCAAGTGTACCTTCATATAATCTTAAATCGTACGTAGACACGCGTAGCACGCTTATACGGAAACCCCGCGTTTGCGTCGCATTTCTGTTTATTCGGAGCCCCGTGCTAACTCTGTCGTTTAAACACTA